ATATATATATTAGAAAAGTTACTGCAGCTGCTTTTCGACATATGTGCCAGTGAAGTTCTGACAAATCACACAATGATTATAAATTGTGGTATATGGGTTTATTCATTTTTTTGTTGTGTTTTGGCCTTAACTGACAGTGCGGGTTGGCCAAATGAGCTTCAGCTGTGATTCATATGACTGATTATTGATACTTTTCTATATTACAGTCAAGCTGCAAATACAAATTGATGGTAGAATATGATTTTTGTGCTTATTAACATTTATTTGAGCCCTCAATGTCTCTTTGTTGGAAAAGTTCGGAGTTGCAGTACAAATTTTGGATGTTGTGCAGTTTAATGGACTCGTTGGACACTTGGATAAAATTCATGGATATGTTTACATAAATTACGTCTTAAATAACTGTTTTAAGCTATTTTTAAATCAGATTTGAACTGATAATAGTTGAGACTTGATGCTGTAGCCTCATAGAGTATATACCTCCTTACATTTATGTAAGGAGGTATATACTCCACCATACCACCATACCACCATATTGTACCACCATATTCTGTAAATAGGTTATGCATAGGGTCTATAGGTTGTAGGTTTATACAATATAACATTCCAGAAAAAAAAAACTGTGTGAAAAAAATCATTTTGATCTTGATGTATTTTAACTTATATAACCACATACTAGTTAAAGTTAAAATAATTCTCTTCTCAAGCTAAAAATTCAGATTGTTGTCCTTACATAAAGACCAAGCTTTAAAATGTACTCCAAAGTGTTAAACTATGTTAAATTAAATGCTGTTCTTAAATGTATTTTAAGGTATTTTAGGCATTGTGGGGCCTTGAGGAAGCTAACAATAATGTATAACACAGGCTGGAAAAATATAGACAAAAGTGACCAATTAAACACAATGCAGGAAATGGAAACAGACACAGAAAACAAAAACAGGAAAAGTAGAAACAAACATTACCAAATCTTTCCGATTATATAATTTCAATCTGTAACAGGTTGTTAAGGAGGCAAAACTATGAGGCAAGGACAACCACATGGAAACTAAAATACAACATAAATCCCAAAACTTTAAAGACATGCATAACAACTAATGTATCACCTGCACTGAAACAACTTTTTACTGAAGACCCTGTCACATCACAACATATCTTATGCTAACTTATTAACATTTTTTATGTCTAAATTACTAATAAAAGTTATATATTTGATAGGTTTTTGAGCATTACCGTATTTACAGGCCTAAAATAGTAGTTGATTTTTTTTTAATTCCATCTTCAACGTAGATGGAATTAAAATTTTCACAAGTTGACATAAGTTGTCTAAAACATCATAGTGTGACAGGGCGTTAAATAATTTGTCATTCCTTAAACTACACTTGTAAACACTGCACTGTTTTTAGAAATGTTTTTATTCACATGCAAATGCAGAAGACAACCTGAAACACTGTAGTAATTACATCAGAACTGTATCTGGTGCTGTAACGCTGCCACAAAAATTCACCGAAACAGGAAACAAAACATGGAGCATGCATATAAAGCCTATGCAGTCTGTAAACACAAGGTGTAAAAAAAATAATTAAAAACAAAAAAATAATAATAATAAAAAAGATGATAGGAGAAAGAACCAAATAATTTTGTAGACTGATGAAAAAAAGTCACATTAAACTACAAAACCCCAAACATACAGGACAGTATTGACTGGAAGTCAGGTCAGTTTAAATGCCAACATAATAAAAACTGTTCAGGCCCATCTAAAAATGGATGACTAGAGGATTGGGGATTTTTTTCTTTATTTATTTTGTGTGTGTGTGTGTGTGTGTGTGTGTGTGTGTGTGTGTGTGTGTGTGTGTGTGTGTGTGTGTGTG